TAAATTAATTTTTTTTTTTTTTTTATAAATAATTTAATTTGATGTTGTTGTTGTTAAAGTGAATGATAAAAATGCAATGATGCACATAAACCTAACTCAGTGATGATGATGATGATGATGATGATAATGAGTTGTAAAAAAAAAAAATAATAATAATAATAATAATAAAGATGAGTGTATGTATGTACATAAACACTTTTCTTTTTTTTTTTTTAAATTATTAAGTATAAATCAAAGTGCAAATGATAAAAAAAAGAAAAACAAATTTATTTAATGGGGAGAGAGAGAGAGAGAGAGAGAGAGAGAGAAAAGAAAAAGTAAATAAATAATAATAATAATAGTGTGCTTAATAAGAATAATAATAATAATAATAGTAGTAGTAGTAGTACATAAAAAGTTGCACAAACACTTTCGAAGAAATTTTTATAATAATAATAATAATCACTTGATAAATAATTGCATTTTTAAAAAAAATTGAATTTATCGATAATGATGATTATGATAATAATAATTATTATTAAATGTTTGGAATTGTTGTGATGGTGGTGGTGGTGGTAGTGGTGGTAGTGATAGTGAAAAATTTTTTTAAAGTGTAGTGAAATGTTTTTGTTTTTATTTTTTTCTTTATTTCTTTCTTTCTTTCATTGTAATTCGAGTTGATAATTTTTTTTTTTTTTTTTTTCTTGCCCTGTTTGTTTATCATTATTCGCTTTCATCATCACATAATTGATATGAAAGGCAATGACTGAAAAGGGATATAAATTCGATTGACATAATTGTAGGAAAAAAAAAAAAAAAAAAAAACTTTTTACAATACAATTTACAAAAAAGGAACCTCATACTTTTACTTTTGTATTCTTCCCCCCCCCATCTAAAAAATTTGATATTAGTCATTATTATTTTATTTTTTATGTGATTAAAAAAAAAAAATGTGGGTGTGTGTGTGTGTGTGATATCAATTAGGATTTTTTTTTATGATAATTTTCACACACACACACTGACATTTTTTTTTTATTTTTTTGCTGATATTCCAATAGTATAAACAATCGAGATAAATTATTATTATTATTGTTGTTGTTGTTGTTTTGACAAACATTTTAATGAGGAATTTTTCATTATTTGTTTTCTTTCTCTCTCTCTCTCTCTCTTTCTCTTCTTTTTTGTGAGTATGTGTGTGTGTGTGTTTGTGTATTCGATTGGTTTGTGTATTGTTTACTCCATTCTTTCCTACCTTTCATTACCTCCCCAATTATTATTATTATTTATGGTGTGTATGTATGAGTGTGTGCACGTGCAAAAAAAGGGATCACACACGTATATATCACATGTGTAGTATGTGTAAAGCAACAAACACAAATGTTTATTTTGTTTTTATTTGTTTTCAGGATGGAGAAAAGGATGTGATTGATTGGATTATACGAAGGCAAAATGTCGAGTTTTAAAAATTCATGTGGCGACCATTACGATGGTCGTAAAGGTGAAATCATGAGAATGGGATATTTAAAAAAATTAAAGGTAAAATTATTTTATTATTATTATTATTATTAAATTACGACTCAGACACATAATGATTAGCTTATCACAAATCCACGTGGATGTGAAATATTATTTATTGAATTTTTTTTTTTTTTTTTTTTTTGCGAATCTGGAAGTTGTTTTCTCTCTCTCTCTCTCTCTCTCTCTCTCTCTCTCTCTCTCTCTCTCTCTTTACTCTCTCTCTCTCTCTCTCTCTCTCTCTCTCTCTCTCTTTACTCACTCCCATTTTGGGATGACTTTGTCGAAATTGTTGTTGGAAAAAACGTCATTGTCATTTTCCTTCAAATTTCTTTTTTTTTCCTCTACTACAATTCTCTCTCTTTCTCTCTCTTTCTATCTCTAGTTGTAAAATGTGATGAAAAAATTCTTCTTCTTCTTTTTCTTCATATTCTGAGACCTATTTTAGACCTCGGAGGCGAAATTTTTTTTTTTTTTTTCAAGTCGTGTAAGTAATAAGAAAAAGTTACGATGCACGATTTTAATTTACTCACAGACAACGCAAAATCGTTTGCGAAGGATTTCGTAAGTAATAAAAGAAAAAAAGAAGAAAAAGAAGTAGAAGAAGTGGAAGAAGAAGAAGAAGAATCAGGGGGGAGGAGGAAGAGGAGGAGAGAAAAATTTTTATGCATTTTTTTTTATTATCTTGTTTTCGATATGGTTATACCGGAAATTCCAAGGATTGTCTGATCCAAATCCGAAGCATTTTTTTTTTTTTTTTTTTTACGTTTGTGTTGTTGGTTGGTTTTCGTCGTCGTCGTCGTCATCGTCGTCTCCCTTTTTTATTTTTCCTTGTGTTGTGATTTTTGTTTTCACAGACTAATATTTGTCGCCTGTCGTCTATTTATAAATACGTATATTATTTGTAAATTGAATTTTTTTTTTTTTTCATATTCTCGTTTTCACACTTTCGAATGAGAGATATGATGAAAAATGTTTTCCTTCGATTGTCTTTCCTTCATTCGAAAACAAACAGACGAACGAACGAACGAACGCGTTCGATATGTATGATCGTAGAAGAGAGAAGAAACAAAAAAATCATCATCATTAATAGTTTTTTTTTTTTTTTGTCTTGCAGACAATGAAAAAGAAATTTTTTATACTGAGAGGAGAATCGTCGGATGCGTCTGCCAGGTTGGAATATTACGACAGCGAAAAAAAATGGAGAAATTCTCAACCGCCTAAAAGAACCATATCATTGAAAACGTGTTTCAACATAAACAGGAGGAAGGACACGAAACACAAATACGTCATCGCCCTGTACACGAAAGATGATTGTTTCTGCATTGTTTTGGATTCGGAAGAAGATCTTCAGGAGTGGTTGAGAGTTTTATTGAAATTACAAACGGGAGAAGAATGCGTGGACGGAGAACAGCCCAAACCAAATTTCGGTTAGTAATTAAGCCCCCCCCGTTTCTCTCCGCTTCTCCTCTTCCGAAATATCCATAAGGAAAAATTATTATTATTATTTTTTTTTTTTTTTTGCACAGAGCACGTGTGGAAGGTGACGCTGCAAGAAAAGGGATTAGGAGATTCGAAAAACTTGGTCGGTCCTTACCACGTTTGCCTAACGGATCAAACTCTGACGTTGGTTAAAATAACGGAAGACGACGCGAAACCGGAAACGTTGGAATTCCCATTGATATACATACGGAGTTGCGGTGTGACGGGAAGTTTTTTTTACATTGAAGTCGGTCGTCAAACCGTGACCGGAGCGGGAGCCCTTTGGATGCTCACGGAAGATGCCAACATAGCCAAGAACATGAACGAAGTCATATTCAGCGCTTTTAGCGTTCAGCAAAAAAATCAAAAGGATTCGAATCCGCACAGGAAGAGGTCGTCGTCTGCGACGGAGTCTTCAAAGCCCACGTCGATACTGCAGAGGCGTCAAACTCACGGTCCGACCAAACCCATTGTGTCCAGCGGTTATTCGGGTGAGTGTGACAAAAAAAAAATTTTTTTCTATTTTTTTATTTTTTTTCGAAACAGACAGACAAACGAACAAACAAACAAACAAACAAACAAACAAATTACACGTTTTGTTATTTATTTATTTTATTTTCGTACGACGATTTGCCCATTTACGATTCGAAAAGAATCGATTAATAACAATTTTTTCGTCGCGAATTCTTTTTCTTCGGGAATGGGGGGGGGGGAGCAAGGAAGAAAGGGAGGGAAGGAGGGTTGAAAACATAAAAGAGAATCGTTTGTTTTTTACAAAATATGCAAAACGCTAAACCGAAAATAATAATTAAGAGAATGAGAGAGAGAAAGAGAGAGAGAGCATGCCACGAAACAATTCAATGGGGGTTTCCCCTTTTTTTTTTTTTTTTATAAATTTTAAATATTGAAATTAATTATTATTATTATTAACAAAAAATTTCAATCTTTTTAACTTTGTTTGTTGTTATTATTTGTTTAATTATTATTATTATTAATATTTTACTGCGGTCATTATTTGTTATTTTTGTTTTTGTTTTTTTGTGGGGAGGAGGGGAGGGGAGGGAAGAGGGAGGGGGTTTCCTGTTTTGTAAAATTAGTTTTGTTGTGTTTGTTGAATTACTTTTTATTATTATTATTTTTTTTTTTTTTGACATGACATTGATGATGGTTCTTGTCTTGTCTTTTATTTATGTAGTATTAATAATGATGATTATATTGCTTGCGCCTGCGATCGGCTTATTTATTTAGTTACATAGGTAGTTGATTGATTGCTTTTGTTCAAGTTTTCGAAATCGTGGAATTGTATCGATTGCGCGTTAGTTAGTTAGTTTGTTCGTTTGTTTGTTTGTTTGTTTGTTTTTAACGTTTGTTTTTATTATTACCTTTATTTTTGAAATGTGGTCGTCGACAGGACGAGGAAATCGTCGTTTTTTCCTTTTCCCCTTCCTCCCTTACGTTTGTGTTTCTTCCCGTTGTTTTTCTATGTTGTTGTTACGTCAATACTTTGGTTTGTTTTCGTTCTTTTTCTCATCGTCGGAAGGATTTCGAATCTGTTGGGTAGTCGGTAGGTTTGTTAGCGCGTCAAATCGAGAAAAATGTATTTAAAAAAAAAAAAAAAAGGGAAAAAAATTGTTATCATTATCATTATTATCGTGAAAAATCACTCTTATTATTATTACTATCGGGCGTGGATCCCGACCCGACGGGAGGGGAGAGGGGAAACTGCTTTCGAAATTTGTTATTGTTGTTTTTTCTTTTCTTTTCTTTCTTTCTTTCTTTCTGTTTTTCTTCTGCTACTTTTTTTTTTTTTACTAATAATAACTTTTTGTTTGTTGTTGTTGTTGTTGTTGGTTGTCTTCACAATTACACCGGGAAGGGGTAAATTGATTTACTTTACTTTTTAGCAAAAGTCGGGTGATGGTTTTTCTTCTTGGAATTGATTTTTCTTTCTTAATTAAAAAAATAATTATTTAACGATTTAATTTTGAAAAAAAAAAAAAAAAAAAAAAAATCTGCTACCACGGAAACAAACAAACGCGATTTTCCCACATTCGGTATTCCATTTACTATTGTCATTAATATTATTATTATTATTATTATTATTATTATGTATTATGTATTATCATTATTGTTACTATTTTTTTACCCCCACTTACGTATATAAATATCTATATTGCCATTTAACAATTTTTGTGGTAATGGGAAAAAAAAGGCATTATGCTTTTGTGTGACCCTGTGTTATATGTGTCTAGCGGTGCCCGTCGCCTCCAGCCTGGTTCTACCTGCTCATTCTCGTCCATCGGGTCTACACTGTGTTCCTCGACCGCCATCTCAGCGACGTCATTCCGTTTCAGGTAATATATATGCATATATATATATATATATATAAACATACTCACACGTACATTACACATCACTTTTTCAAAAACGAAAAGAAAAAAAAAAAAAAAAACGAACGTAAGAATAAAAAGTCGAAAGAAAGAAAAATAGATTGATAGATAGATAGATAGATAGATAGATAGATAGATAAATAGATAGATAGATAAATGGATACCTAATGTTAAGTGCATGTTTATTGGTTATCAGGTATAATAATTTGCTTCTTCCTTTTTTTTTATTAATTTTGTTTTTTTTTTTTTTTTTTTTTTTTTTTGTTTTGTTTTTCATCACCGAACGATACACCAAATTATTATTGTTATTATTATTATTATTATTATTATTATTATTATTATTATTGATAATATTAATATTATTAATATTATTATGACTGTTATTATTTGGCCACGCTTTATACATGTTTTGCTTTTATTCATTCATTCATTATAATCATCATCATCATCATCATTATCACCGCTTTTATCACTTTTTTTGTTTACTGTCAGTGTCAGTATAAATAGGTTTTTCCTCCAAGCTTTTTTTTTTTTTTAACACTTACTAAGAAATCTGGAGAAAGGGAGGAGGAGAAGGAGGAGGAGGAAAAAGGGTCGGGGGGCGTTTTAAAAAGAATTTTCCGTCGCGAAAAGTAATAATAATAATAATAATAATAATAATTTTTTTTTTTTTTTGAAAATTTTCAATCGAAACCCTTTAGTTTTTGTCTTTGTTGTTGTTGTTTGTTTTTTTAAATTCATCGATTCGTTTTTTTTTTCTTTTTTTTTTGGTTCATAATCGACACCTTTTAATTATTTATTTATTTATTTATGTATTTATTATTATTAATATTATTATTGTTATTGTTATTATTGTTTTCGTTTGCCGTTCGTTAAAATTTATTTAATTGTTATTATTATTGTTATTATTATTATTATTTTTTTTTTTTTGTATAATTGCTTAAAGTGTAATTGGGTGTTCGTTTGGGACAATTTTTGATTTTGCAGCAATGTCTAGTAGCTCAGTTTTGGGGAGTAGTACAATGGTGCAGCATCAGCGCACTAATTCCATATCCTTATCCCCGTGCTCCGAATCCTCGGAACCACGTAACGGACCGTCATCAAACGTTCCCATCGTACATCAAAGGACTAAATCGTGTCCCGTGTCAGAGTCTTCGGTTGTTGTTGGGTTTTTATCAAGTCAAACATCACCTCCCGAACCTCAGAAAAACTCGAATCCCCTTTGTCCCGTACACCGGGACCGGAACAGCTCTCAAAGTTCCATTGATTTTGCACATTCTCACTCTGGGGAGGGGTCGGATCTTAGGCGAAGCAGCGTGAGCGGTAGAAGGACTTCTTCTAATGTCGTTAAAAGTAGGTATTTTCCCGAAAAGGCTACTTGTTTGTCGTTTGCTCGCGACTATTAACACGCGACAGTTGCGAATAACATTTTTTTTTTTTTTTTTTGTAAGTTGGCTTGAATGTCGACGACGCTGCGAAAAAAAAAATTTATTATTACTATTATTATTGTTATTGATTTTTTTTTTTTTTTAAATTTTCAGGCTCTATTGCAGGTACGAGGGAAAGAAGCGATAGTATGCCGTCCCGAAATCGTACCACCAGCGAAGGTGGTCATCACGTCACTGCCGGAATTCTTCCTTATCCTACAAGGATACCATATCACGGATCCAGACCTCATTCGATGCACTCGAGAGGATTATCGCATTCTCCGCCCGCTGCTTCTGGACCGTGTTCGACTGATTCCGCCGGATCGTCGGTTTCCATCGACGAAGGAGAACTTGATTTAATTGGAACGGCTACATCTCCTCGCTACGGTCATTCTTCCACTCCCGACGAGCCAGCCATCATAGAAGAAAATACCAATGATTACTGTCACTGGGCTCAAGAAAATGGTACTGGAAAATATTTCTAAATTTACTTTGTTAATAAAAAAACTGGAAAATTATTGTTTGGTGTTGCGATGCTGTTTTTTGTTTTAGGAGAATCAAGAAAAGTCGATGACTACGTCACCATGGAGCGCCCTGCACCTTCGTTATCGTTGGCCATTCATTCGGGAGGAGTTCAGAGAAAAATTTCAGCTCCCGCCTCGTTGAAATCTAATTCTCCTTTGCATTCGTTCATTGATATATGTAGCCCTTGTGGTTCTAGTCCTTTGGAAACAGGGAATTATTTGCCGATGAGTCCGGGAGAAAGCGGTCGACGTTTAACAGTGACCGGTCCCCCGTACCCGTCGAACCACAGTCGGGACAGTAGTCTAGCGGAAGAAACCGTCGATGACTACGTTCCCATGGCACCGAATCCGACGGATGATGGCTACGTCGATATGGAACCACTCTCCGGTCATCGTTTGCAAAGCGAAGGTAAACAAAATTTTTTCCGACTTCTAATTCAATTTTTTGTTTCCCTCTTGCCGATGTAATGCTTACGTTGTAATTTGCATTTTCCTCAGATTGCCATCATTCGGACATGTCTCCGGGAAGTAGTTGTTCCTTCACATCGGGCACACCGTCAACTGATTTAAGATTTTCAGAATATCATTTGGAAAAAGTTTCATCTTATTTGACTCCGTCTGAAGAAGATGAATTGTCTCTTACGGACAGGCCCTCGAGAACGTATTCTTTCGGATCCCAATCGGAAACGACTAAAAGCAAGGGAAAAATTGAAATATTGAATAGTTCGGATGCGGGTCGAGTTCGAGCTTTTTCCGTCGGAAGCAAATTTGTTAAACCTCGGAATTTAACGAAGGAATCACATAAGCTGCCTTTAAGAAGTCATTTTTTACCTCAAAGCACGAAATCCTCTAGTGCACCTTTACTAAGTAGTTCGTGGTCGGGAACGTCGAGACATAATCAGTCTTCGAACGATCCGATGGCCGACCTCATGGAAATCGACTTCACGGAAAATAAAAAGAAAAAGAAAAATAATTCGTCGAAATTTCGAGTCACTCCCGTCATGGAATCCTCTCAGCTCTGCATGGACATGAAAAGTTCTCTCAACACGGTAACATCGAGCGCCGATTCCGGGTACATGGATATGTCTTCGAAATCTCCGTCGGGAGGTTTTTCGAATTCGAAAACTCAAAACGGAAGCGACTATTGTTCGATTTCGCCACCCTCGGTAATTTCCGGTTCTCCTCGAACTCAGGGATTCAACGCACTTTTCGGAAAATCTCCGCCCAAGCCATTGAACAGTCATTTCGGAAGATCGCCTCCGAAATTTTCTCCTTTAACTGGTTTCGACAATAACAACTCGTCGAGCAACAAGCCTTTTTTATCGCCTACCGAATTGAATCGGTCTGAACCAAAGAATACTCGTTTAACGAAACCAGCCATCGTGTCATCAAGTACTTTGAAAACGATCGGAGAAAAACCCGACGTCAAACCTCAAAAATTTCCAACCACGTCTTCGGCCAACTTGAACATGTATGCTCTTTTTAATAAAATCCACGGTGCCGGAACTCCCGCCAAACAATCGGGAGGTTTTAAAGACTTGCGCGCGTACAACAGTGAAAATATTCAAGGGAAAGACGAGCAGAATTACATGGAAATGGGCGGTCGGAGTATGAAAAAATTCGTTCGCGCCAACAGCGATAGAGACGTCATTTCCGGTAAAGAAGTTTTAAACAGGAGCTTGCCAGAGGGATACGTCGAAATGTCGTGCGGTGGAAAATTGACGAGAAAGTTATCCGGAGATAATTTCGTCACGTCTCATTCATTCGACGATTACATGCCGATGACGGGAGGATCCCAACCGATAGCGATAAAGGGTTCGTCTTTGATCAATTCCACTTCCAAAGGGAGAACGCCTCCAAAAGTTCCTACGAGTTTTCTGGGTCTCGGAAATGCGGGTCCCTTCGGCACGAATCGTCGCAACAGTCGGAGGAAAAGCAGGAAAAAACACGAGAGACGAGAAAGCAAAGAGAACGTCATCATAACGCCGACGGGATCGAATTCTGCCATTTTTCCAATGTCCCTGAGCAGTCCGACTTCGCCAAAAAAAATTACCAAAAGTTTAAAAGAACTGAAAGAAAAATTGAACTCGACCAACAGTCCGTGCGAGTCGACGGAAACGAGTCCGATGGAAGAAAGTTTACACGCCGAATTGAGTCCGAACGATGAGGACAGCCTGTACGAGGAAATGACTCCCGGAGTGGAATTAGAGGAAAGGTGTTTTTTGGACACGATAGTCGATTCCGTGCAGGATACCGTCGAGGACGCGTCCAAATTGTCCGGTTCGTTGAATCGCTTGTTGCGTATTTCCAACGACGAGGGTCCCTCATCGAATTACATGAATTTTTCTCCGCGGTCTCGTCTCTCGGATGATAATTCGGGGGATTACGCCTGCATGAAACCGGGAGAATTTTCAATGGATAAATCATCGCCGCGAAATTCGAACAATTCTCTAGGTGATAGTAATAGTATATCGAATAGAAAGAGTGATGAATCTACTGCGAATATAACTTCAAATGAAGCCTCTTACGGTGTTCCTTATAGTGCCACTGCCAATATATCAGATAATAAGTCTGACATTGCTCAGAAATTAACGTGTCTCCCCCACGAGAGGGGAGACGGTTTACACATCCCGAGACTGGCCTCTAGTCAAGTATCACAGCCTAAAACGGTCGGAAAGAATAAATCTCAAGAGGAAAAAATGGACGCGTTGCATTCTAGGTTAAATTTAACGTCGAACGTCGGAGATAATTCTAGGATATGCGGTTCGATCGCGAGTGTCAGCGATTCCTCCGCTTACGGAGGAGATTCGACCGATCGAAAGACAAACAGTTTGAAAATGGCGGAAAATCACGCGAGCGTGACGAGACAGGTGTCATCATCTAGTTCTTCGTCGACGGAAGTGATAAGCGTGAAAGAGGCTTCGTCTCCGGCGGTGCCGACGACGAGTTCCCTTCCTCCTTGCGTCGGCGGCGCGTCGAGGCCTTCGTCGACGAGCAGCGAAAAGGATATAACCTACGCTTCCCTGGATCTCGGTCCGTCCGGGAGCGAAAGCGAAGACACCGGTCGGAGTCCGAGGAATTTAAGAACTCAATCGTCGGTCGCAAGCGACTCAATGAGTTGTTGTTCCAATCCTTCAGTTCCTTCAGAATCTTGTTTCAATTACGTCAAAATAGATTTTGAGAAAAGCGGGTCGTTGCGCACTCCGGAGTCGTCCTCGTCGACGACGACGACGACGGCAGCAACGACGTCGTCATCGACATCGTCATCGTCGTTCAGTAAAAAATTGCACTACTGAACGCCGCCGATCGACTGATTCTCCCGAGTTTTTACTTTTCGTCGTCGTCGTCATCATCATCATCATCGCCTTTATTATCATTATTATCATCATGCAGTTTTGTCGCGCACGTTGCGTTTTACGCGTGTCAGGTCAACGTGTCTGTTGATGGCGTCTTGTTTGCCGTATGCGGAGTCGAAACGACTCGTCGCGGCGATGATGACACCGTTGAATGTTTGACCTCGATTTTAACTCTCGAAATTTTTCGCGTGCCTAACCGGAAATAAGATTTTTAATCGAGTATCGGGAAGCGAATAATTTTTTCAACCTCTTCGAGATGTATAATAATGATGATGATGATGGCGATGATGTCGCTGACGAGTACGACTATAAAATCAGTTTAAAAAAAAAAATTCACGGCCATTTTTTTTTGTTTTGAATTTAAAAAAAAAAAAAAAAAAAAAAAATAGCGGAAAACGACCGCAAATCGAATTTATCAAAATTCGCATTATTTTCAACCGGTGATTGTTGATCGAAATCTCTTTTATATCTGAAAAAACAAAATGTCGTCTGCAATCCGAAAGAATTTGTTTTTTTTTTTTTTTTTCAGTTTTTCAAATTCGTCGGAAAAAAAGTCTCGTGGGGGAGGCCGGGGGCGGGGTGCGATGGGAGCGAGGGCGGGGAAATTGGAAAATAGGGATAGAGATCCCCATTTCCCACTTCTCCCTCCCTCCCTCCCTCCTCCTCTTCCCCTCCCCCTACTTTGCCCTAAAATCATGGTTACCGGTTGATGAGGTTACCATTAAATATAAATATATTTTTACTTTTTTTTTTTTTTTGTTTTTATTTCGTAAAAAAAAAAAAGAAAAGAAAAGAAATAGAAAAAGGAAAAAAAAACCGTTTTTACTTTTATGAAAATTTATGTATATTATATGTAATGTAAATTTTACAATAAAACAGTATTTATTTCATTCAAAAAAAAATAAAATAAAAATAAAAATAAAATAAAATAAAACAAAAAAAAGAAACGTTTTTATTATTTTTATTTTTTTTTCCCCAAACCGGACGTCGACCCGATAATAATTCTCAAGATCGATTCATCGATCGATGAATCGAAATAAATAAGATGAGCGTGACGTACTTCCGGTTCTCGTCGAAAGAATTTCGTTCTCGTGTATTAATATCAGTTTTTTTTATTTTATTTACATCATTACATCGGAGAAAGGTAGTATGCGTTCACGCACGCACGCACGCACGTAAATAAAATAAATCCGTTACATTTACAAAAAAAAAAACGTTAAAACGTTAAAACGTTAAGCAATAATTATCAGTTTAAAAAAAAAAAAGTTGACGAAAAAAATGTTGTCCGGTGAGTTTATACGACGGCGACAATGACGTCACAGAGATTAAATACAATTTAGTGGAAAAAGGATCCGTAAAACGTTTTACGTTATAAACTTACCCACGTGATTTTTATCTGTAATTTTGTGTTTTTATTTAAATTAAATAAATAAAAAGAAAAAAAATGTCGTTAAATAAAAATAATTATTATTTTCTTTTGATTTTTTAATTATATTTATTTAACAAAATGTAAAATAAAATGTAATCGCGGATAAAAAAAAAGGTGAAAAATTTCTCGGTTTTAACGGTTTCGATGACGTCAAAATTTTTTTAAAAACGTTCCGGAACATTCGAATGTAAATCGAGCGGTCTATGTTTAACTTATGTTATAATAACCTCGCGTTGTTTTCGACCCACATTTACAAAGTAGTCGTCGTCGGAGTCGTTTGTTTAAAATTAACCGGAAAAAAAAAAAAAAAAAACATTTTTATTAGTTATGCCATTTTTGATTTGATGAAATAAGAATTATAATTGATAATCGGACGGATGTTTACACACGTACGTATAAATAAATAATATAAAAGTACAAAAAATTAAATTTTATTTAAGAAATTTATAACGCGGAGCCATATTTGAAAAAAAAAACGAATTTTTTTTTTTTTTTTTTTTTTTTGAATTGAAAAGGAGATGTGATGTTAATTATAATAATCATTTGATTACGTTAAGGAATATGTTTCCTTCGGATGTTAAAAAAGTAATAATAATAATAACAATACTATTATATTCATCGTTGGTGATACGTTCGTGGCCATTACTATCATATTTGGAAAAGAATAATCATGTGGAAAATGACAATAAAACCATTTTTTACTATAACGATGTTGCTAACGAAAACGACGCCATTACTGTGAGCGAAAGGGAAAAAAGAGGTTTTTATAAATTATTATCATTATTTTATATTGTTTTGTGGATTTTATATAAGAATAACATTTTATTATAATTTAATTTCAGTTTTAAATTTTATATCGATACCTGTAAGCATCGAATGTACATCTGATGATGGAAGAAGGAGAGGAATTTGTTTAAACGTTTATGAATGTAAAATACAAGAAGGGATTTCACATGGAAAATGTGCATTAGGATTTGGTGTTTGTTGCGTATGTGAGTTTTAAATTTAAAACCTTTTTGTTGTTTGTTGTTTGTTTAAAACACAACGAAGAAGAAGGTTATTTATATATAATGAATTATTTAATAATAATAATAATATGTTAGAAAAACCTTTTGATGTTGGTTGAAGATTAGTATTAAAACGTAACATTTAATGGAGAATTTAATTTAAATTTTATTCATTAACTTTTGTTAATAATATGTATATTTGACGGGAGGGGTTTATATTGTATAAAACAAACTAATTTATTACATTTTCCTCTCGTCGTCTGCTTGATTTAATAGAAAAATATCGTTTGAATTGATTAACGACATTTATATATATATATATGGACGAATTTGTCATAAGAATTTAACGTTTTTGTTTTTGTTTGTTCGTTTGTTTGTTTGTAGTTTCGAGCAGTTGTGGTTCGAGGGCTGTTAATAATTTAACATATTTTGTCAATCCAAATTTTCCAAGTCTTTCATCGGATTCGGAAATATGCGAATTAAAAGTTAAAAAATTAGCACCGCAAATAAGTCAATTGAGATTGGATTTTTTACATTTTAATATTGTGAGTCTATCTCCTTTTTCTGTCTCTCTCTAAAAATGTGACGTCATAATTTGTATTTGATTATTCATCCCCTTGATTTTTTTTGGAAATACAGGGACAACCAAATAGAAAAACAGGGATTTGTGATAGTGACGTCATGATAATTGAAACTGATTCGAATGCGGATTTTATAACTTGCGGATTAAATAACGGTCAACATAGTGAGTATTGATTGTTACGTTTGTTACGTTTGTTGTTCTTGTTTGTTTTTATAGACATTTTTTTTCTAATTTGTCTTGTTTGTTTTCTCCAGTTTATTACGATGTCGAAGGAGTTAATGATGATATAAAAATAATAATGAATTTAACAAAAGAATCATTCGATAGGATTTGGGAGATAAAAGTAAGTTTTTTTTTTTAATGAATTTTTTCTTCCAGGAGTTTTCCAGGTTTTTTCAATTTTCAAAAAATTGTTATCGGTTTTTATTTTCCCTTTTAATTAATCGAATTTTACGGGAAAATGATTTTTTGGAACATAATGTTTGTGTTTATTTTATTTATTTTAATTATTGTGTTGTAAAATTTTGGACAATTAAATTTTAATCCTGGAGAAAAAAAATTTGAATTTTGATAAAAAGTAAAAATTTTCGAATCATCTTTCCAAAAAAAAAAAACAAAAAAAAAACAAAAAAAAATGATTCCCACATTTTGAAATTGACACGTTTGACGATTTGGAATGAAATTCTGGAAATCGTACTGGAACAAATTAGAACGGTTTTTTTTTTTTTTTTTTTTTCAATTAATTAAATTAAAATTAATTTTATCATTTTTATTATTATTATTATTTTTTATTATAATTAACAGTCAGTGGTACAAACATATTAAAAATTAAAAAAATGAAATGTAAATATTTGAAATTGTTTTTGTTGTAAGAGTGGCTGGAGAAAAAGTGGGAGGAAGGAGGGGGGGGAAAAAAAAAAACTTTCATTAAAACGAAAAAAAAAAAAAAAAAATTCATTTTTTAATTTAACCGTTAAGTAAATAAATTAATAAATTTTTTTTTTTTTTTAATTTGTTTGATTCTCAAACCGGAAATGCATTAAATATCCGACATTAAGTGGGGAAAAAAACTAAAAAAATTTTCTCTTGCTTTTTTTTTTTGCGTCGAGCAAAACTTTTTTTTTTTAATATTTTATTACTCAATAAAATATTATTATTATTAATCCTTTTACTTTTTATTATTATTATTATTATTATTATTTTCATTTACAGTTATGGAGAAATTTTTTACACAAACCTACATACGCACAAATTTTGTTTTTTTTTTTTTTTTGTCGTGTCACGGATTTACGCAGTTTGTTGTTGTTGTTTTTTTTGGAATTTTTTTATTTCAATTCGTATGATTGTTTGTTTGTTTGTTGTTGTTTTTTCCATTCGTGAACTTAAAGTATTGAAATTCAAGTTGAAATGTTTTTTTTTTTAAACGTGGCATTTGTTTTACAGATAACACAAATCGAATTTCAAAAAAAAGCACCGCCCGGATGTTTGCAATACTACACTGAACCCACCGGTATCATACAAACGATGAATTTTGCTGAAAATGGTAGACATTTGGCTAATCAAGATTACACAATATGCATAAGACAAGAAGATGATCATTGTTCTATAGTTTACGAACCTTGTGACGAAAACTCGTTTAAAATAGGACCGCCAATGTCGGGTCAAAACGCGATAGAAGGATCCGGTTATGGCGAAACTGGAGTTCCAGATTCCGATAATAATAATAAAGAATGCGCCGACAAAATTCTAATGCCTTGCGACTCGGAAGAATTCATAACGGTTTGTCTTTTTTTTTTTATCATTATTATCATTCGAATGATAATCCGTAAAACATATATCAGGGTTCGGGGTTAATGTGCAAAAAAAAAAAAAAGAAAGAGAGAGAGAGGAAAAAATCAAAATGGCGACGATAATGATGATTTTACCTTTCGGCCGTGTAATTAAAATATTTTTGAAACGTTTTTTTTCTATCTCTCTCTCTCTTCTGCTTTTCAATGGAAATTTCCAAATTGTTTGTGATTTTTTCGTGAGCGAACACGTACGCAATTCCTTTTTTTTTTTACCTTAAAAGTTGTTGAGTACGAGAAGAGAGTGATAATAATAATAATAATAATAATAATAATAAATTAATATGAAATTTGATGTTGAGTAGATAGAAGAAGAAGATCAATCGGTGGAAATTTGGTACGAGTGCGTAACTGTTAATAACAAATCCGAACCGTTATTACTTTTACGCGATCGTTATTTTTTTTTTTTTTTTCTGAGATTAAAAATTTAAATTTCGATGAATTTGTGGGGGCGGGGTATGAGGGGGGGGGGGAGAGAGAGAGAGAGAAAGGAAATTTCGAAGCAGACGATAAAGAAAAAAATAAATTAAATTGTTTTTTTTTTTTTTTTGCTTTTAACAGGCAGATGCAAAAGTGCCTGGAGTTTGCCAATTGCTTCATTGCGGAAGTTCATTTTGTCCAGAAGGAGAATTTCCGTGCAGGATAGAAAGTAATTTTTTTTAATTTTTTTTTTTTTTTTTCCCGCCGGATCCCAATAATAATAATAATAATAATAATGTTTTACGTTGGTGTTTTTTTGCAGGTAGCACGGTTCCGTTTAACATAAGAGTTCAATTTGGTGAAGCCATAGAAGGGGAATCCCCGGATGATAATTTAGGTATGTGTTTAAAATACGAACAACTCACTTGTTTCTAGTCTTTTTTTATTTATTTATTAAGTTACGTATAAATAATAATTTATTTATTTAAAAAGAGAAAAAAAAATTTTTTTTTTTTATTATTTTTACCTTTTTTTTAAAATTTTTCCTATTTTTTTGTAACAAACTACAAATGTTTTAATTTCAAAATAGGCATAAAAATTCCGAAAAAAAAAATAATAAAAACAGAAACAAAGAGATAGAGAGAGAGGGAGAGAGAAAAACACATAAACAGAAAAAGAAAGGAAGAGAGAGAGAGAGAGAGAGATAAAGATAGGATTATTAATGGCGTTATTTTGTTAAATGATTAAGGTAAGGCATTAAGTTTTTAAATCCCATTTTTAATCCAAAATTTCGTAAAAACGATTTGAGGAAAATTCTGGAAAAGCTCACATTTGAAATAATAATAATAATAATAATAATAATAATAATCCGAAATTTCGAACGAAACAATAGAGTTGAGATTTTTTTTTTTTTTTTTGACAAATAATAACAAAATTGCAAAAATTTTTCCCGGTTAATTCCAGGCGATTAAAAAAAAATTAATCATCATCATTATCATCATCATTTTTTTCTTTTTTTTTTTTTTACCCGTACGCGATCGAAAACGAGTTTTCGTTAACGTTTCTTTTTTTCTCTCTCTATCTAAAATTTTTTTTTTTTCGTCAAGTTGGTAAACCTGATCGTATTCACCCGAACGTTGTTTCTTTTATCTTGGCTTACGTTAACATAAAACGTTATACGATCTCATTCGTTGCATTTTTTATAAAACGCCCGCGTTTGTACGCGTAAAAAAAGGTTTTTTAAACGGAAAGGATTGATAAGAAACAAACGAACAAACAAACAAACAAAAAAAAAGATATTAAGTTTAAAAATTTATTTATTTATGTACAATAAAGAAAATTTCGAAAGGAAAACAAACAAACAAAAATTATTATTTTATTGATAAATAATTATTTTGGTGCACTTTCGATTTAATAATAATAAAAATAATAAAGAATCATCATCATTATTATTATCATCATTATCATTTTTATTTATATATATATATATATTTTTTTTTTCTTTTAAACTTTTCATTTAGCAACAAACAATTTCAAAAAAATAAATAAATATTTTTATGTATTTATTTTTTAAATAATTTTTCTTTTTTTTTATAATTTACACGTTTCATTATTATCATCATTATCATTATTATTATTTATTGACACGTTTAAAATTTTTTTATCATTTTTATCATTATTATTATTATTATTATTATTATTATTTAACGAAAACGGTGCGAATTGATTAATAATAATTTTTATTTATTTTTTTATAATTTTCGCGTGTGCCTTTTATTTATTTTTTTTGTTTTTCGCACGCGTGCGTGCACGTGCGTAAAAAGTTTGATTGTGTGTGCATGTGCGCGTGTGCGTGGGTTTTTTTTAAAACAAAAAAAAAAAAATTTTTTTAAAACCTTTTTCAAAATTAAATTCTCTTTCTTTCTCTCTCGCTTTTTCTCTCTCTTTTATTTACGCCCACTTCAAATTGATTGTTACTATTATTATTATTATTATTAATTTCAATTTACTTTTCGCGGGGGAAGTGGGACAGGCAAGGAGCCAGGCATTATCGAAACGAGTGAGGGAGGAGGGAGGGAAAGAGGGAATGAGAAGGCATAAAAGGTTTACGAATCAACGTTAAAGGGTTTACGATAAAAGGTTTTACCAATTGAATGTCATCATCATCATCATCATCATCATCATCTCTTATTATGCGCGACGTTTTTACTTGATTTAACGTGTCAAATTATTAACGTATTATTATATATTATTATTAACGTATTATTAACGTATTATTATTATTATTATCATTATTATTATTATTATGAATACGAAATTTTGGGAAATAAATAAAATTGTATTGGCTATAAAAAAAAATTAATGCCACGACTTTAGAAAAATTGATTCGAATCGTTTTAATTTAATTTCGGGTTTTTTAGACTTCAATAATAATTTACACACGTGTCATTAGTTTTATTATTATTATTATTATCATTATTATCATTATTATTATTTCAACGCATTTATATGTATTAAGGTCGCGTTTTATCAAATTTGTTTTTGTGTGTGTGTGTGTCGAAAATGAAAATTTTTCTGATGAAATTTTTACCTTATTTTCTATCGATCGTTTTAATAAAATTTTATTATTATTATTATTATTATTATTATTATTATTATTATTATTATTATCCACCATTAAACACGACAAGGCTACTTGTCGGAGTTTTTTTTTTTTTTTTTTTTTTTTAAGTATTTATCCGAGGTTTCTACCCGATTCCTTAGGGACAAATACTCGAATTTCGGTGGTGCCACTTATTATAAGATAGCACCACATCAATTCTTGAAGGTCTTCCTGAGTCCATCTTTATTCGATGGGAACGATTTGTCTCCTGACCTGGGCTCCGGTGACTAACATCTTTGGAGTGGCCAGGGTCAGAAGCAGTGAAATTCACGTTCTCGTCGAGCTGCCTCAGGTCGACAGTAGAACAAGATTTTGTTTTTGGTTCTTACTTTGTCTTGTTCTCATTTTTTTTGCTCTTTTTTAAGCCAACAGCACGTGGCGTTCTCAAACGGTCACCCATCCAAGTTTGCACCACGCCCGATGCTGCTTAACTTCGGTGATCGTACGGGAACCGGTGTGACCAGCACGCTATGGCCGTTGGCTTTTATTATTATTATTATTATTATTATTATTATTATTATTATTATTATTATTATTGTGAGTTTTTCGATTGGTTGAGTGATAGTAAAGGTGAGGGCAGTGGTAAAATTATTATTGTTATTACGTCCAATTTAAATCAAGATAATAATAATAATAATAATAACTAACAATAACAACAACATTTTCGTACACGCAAGTATTTTTTTTTTAATGACACGATTTTTTCCACACGTGGAAAAAGAAAGAAAGAAAGAAAATAATCAAAATTTACGTGTTTTATAGTTTTTTCCCTCCCTTTGCAAATGAAACCTTTTCTTTCGTTTGATTAGTTTTTAACCTTTTCCTTCCTTCCTCCCCTCCCCTCATCTTATACTTTCATTTCCGCTCTGTCACTTCGTCCGTTATTTTTTCCTTCCGTTTCCTTTTTTTTTTTTTTTTTTTTCGTTCGTTCGTGAGAATCTATTCCGAATATCGAAAAACCGATGAAGAAACAATTTATTTATTTATTTATTTTTAAACGGGTTCAAAAAAAAAAAAAAAAACAAAAAGGCAGACAAAGAAAATTCAAACACAAACAAACAAACAAACAAACAAAACAAAACAACAACCTTTCTTTTACCCCCGCAGGAATTTACAAAAACCGAAAGAAACTTGTTGCACGTTTTTCCTCTTTCTTACGTTTTTTTTTATAATCGACGATAATTTAATCAAAAATTTTACACGTATGGAAAAAAAAAATCGTGGCACCAGAAAAAAAAAAAGAAAATTTTCACCGTCTTTTTTTTTTTTTAATCGTTATTAATTATTATTATTATTATTTTCGTTGTGCTAACGTTATTTATTTATAATTAATTAATTATAATTAGAGCAATATTTTCTGGTCGATATAATTTATTATTATTATTAATTAATTATTTATTTATTAATAATCTATTATTACTTAATAATTATTGATTATCTAAATTTTTATTATTATTATTATCATTATTAGTGGGAGGGTATATCTACAAATTTTTTTTCTCGATAAAAACAAACAGGCATTGGAAAAGATATAGAGTTTTTCCATTTGTCATCACTTTTACGTTTGTTTGTTGTTTGTACGCGAGTTTTTGTTGTTAAAAATATTGTTTGTCGTTGATTGTTTTTTTTTATTAATTTTCTTTTCGGGCTATGAATCCGTTGTTGTTTTTGTTATTGTTGTTGTTGTTGTTGTTGTTGTTGTTGTGACTACCGTTGTCATTTGTGATGTTGGTGCTCCTACAATCGGTGGTGTTGTTATCGTTGATCCTCCACCTACTCCTCCTCCTCCTGTTGTTTTTTTATTAAGTACCGTGTTTGTATTTTGTTGAAGGCCGATTCCGTTTCTATTGAGATTCACTGTTATGTCCATTCTCACAGGCACATTTTCTGTAAATTGTTTTTAAAAAAAAAAAATTATTAAAATCATTATTATTATCATCATTCGAGTTTTCTTTTAACCGGATGTGACGTCATTTAAAAAAAAATTCTCTCTTTCCCCCCCCACGTTTGTTCGTCCGTTTTATAGTTTTTTGTTTTGTTTTTGTTTTGTGTTCCCACGCAAAAGTCAAATCGTTTCGTTTGTTTTTCTGTTTGTTGTTTGTATTTTGTTTTTAAATTCGAAAAGTTTAAACTAGAACGAAACTCTAAATCTACTTTTCTAAAAAAAAAAAAAGAACGCATAAACATTTTTGTATTTATTCGAACATGACAACGTGCAGGTTTACGAGTATCTCTAAGACAAACAAACAAAAACGACAAGAATAACAAAACAGGAATAAAAAATTAAAATCTCAGACTTAACAGACGATCGATCGAACGAACGAACGAACGAACAGAACAAACAAATTAATAATAATGATAATAACAAAACGTCAAATCGTTCGTATTAAAAAAATTTAAAAAATTATCGGCCCGGGATTTTTTTTTTTTACCGAAAAAAGAAAACAAACAGACACGAAAATTATTTCGAGGATTTGTTAACCCAATGTTACCAACATAACCAATCGTTGTTTATCGACTAACTCGAAAACAAGGCGAGCAAAAACAAAAAAAAAAACAAAAAAACTAATGATAATAATAATAGAAAAAAAAAAAAAAAAAAAGACATGCGTGATGATAATAATAATTATGGGGACATAAATGCAAGAAATACCCAGGGCCAGCATAAAGAAGCGGTACTGCGTCAGTCCACGTCTCCGACTGTACCTTTGGTGCCGTTTGTACGCAAATTAGAACTTCTGCGTTCGTTTTCTGAAATCAATAAAAAATTAATAAAAAAAAAAAAAAAACTATTGATTTATTGATTGATGAAAAAAAACCAAAGTCCAAAATGTCGTTGACGGAGAGTGGGCGGAAGGGGCGGAAAAGGGGTAGGGGGTGAAAAACAAAACACACCGGTTTTACAATAGTGACAATAAAACATTTGAAAATTTACGATTTTTTAAAATGGCGGGAAAATTTTTTAAAACCGTTTTTAGGTTTAAACGTTTTGCAAAGAGGGAGGCGGGGGCGGGGCGGGGTAAGGGAAGTGGCAAAAGAACAAAATCGAAAATGAAACCCTCCGGTTCGGGAGTAAAAAGATATAGATAGAAAAGAAAATGAGGAAATTAATTTAGTTTTTCTTTACGGTAAAAACAACAAAAACAACAACAACAAAAACAATAACAATAACAACGACAACACGACAGAGTTTAAAGAGAAAATGAAAAATTTGAATTTAATTCACCTTTAAATATTTATTCAATGTGTGTGGGGGGAGGAGGCGGGAAAACTTTTTCTTTTCGTGATCCGGGTTTTAAAATTTAAATTTTTTCCCGCTCTCATTTTCTATTCAAATTTTTTAATTTGAAAATGTTATTAAATCAAGGGTAAAGGAGAGATCGTTTGTAGTTGAGAGGGGGAAGGATGGGGAAAAAGTTTCGGGAAAAACTACCAACATCCAGAGGAGAGGGGGGGAACGATAATAAACGTGCGTACGAATAAAATTTTTTTTTTTTTCACTACAAAAATAACTACAATCACTACAAAATTGATAAAAAATTTCTTATCGTACTTAAAGGGGGGGGGGACATGATAATTTAGAGTACCATAGTGCCCACGTGACATATTTTTAAGTGTATGTGTGTATGTGTATGTGTGTGTGTGTGTGTAGGGTTTTATTTTCTTATTCTTTTCTATCAATCGGATACATTTTAAACATATAATTTACCACACGGTGTTCAATTCACATATACAAGTGCTCGCATATATGCCTACACATTACACAAAAGGTTCTTTTATATATTTTTGATTTTTTGATGTCTTTATCCACACATGTATTATTATTATTATTATTATTTATTTGTATACCTTAATAGAACGGTTTTAATATCGCGTCTACATTTTTTTGTGAGGCCTCGTCACCACCATATCGTATTCTTCTTGTTCCTCGTAACCTGACACACAATAAAATATTTATTTTTCCCCCGTATATTATCATTATCATATTATCCGTGTGACGTTTGAAGGTTTTGGTTGAAAAGGTTTCGAAATGATGAAATTTTATAAAAAAAAGGTAATTTCATATCACTTACCCAAATTGGGTCCGATTCCTTCTTTCGGATGATTCGATTTGATTGCGTTCATCCTTCTATTTGGACCTAATACTCCACCGACTCCGCCTCCTCCACCCCCACCACCACCACCACCGCCTCTTCCGGTTTGATTTTGTGGTTGTTGACCGGGAGTCCAACCTTGGGCACCGGGAAGAAGAGGTTGACCAGGCACTCTAGGTCCTCTTAATTGTTCCACGGGTAAAACTCTTCGTCTTTTCTTCGGCAATTTAGCTCGAGCCTTTTGTTTTATTTGAATAAGATAATCGTTATACGATTAGGTGTTATCGTGCAGGTAGGGAGGAAAAAAGGGGGGAAAAAGCTTTTTACCTGAGTGTGAGAGTAGTACATGGCAAAATTAGCAACTATAACAGGCACAGGCAATGCGATTGTGAGCACTCCGGCTAATGCACATAATGCTCCGACAAACATTCCGACGTATGTTTTCGGAGCCATGTCACCATAGCCAACGGTTGTCATTGTTACCAAAGCCCACCAAAGACCCAATGGAATGCTATTGAAATCGTTGTGTGGATTTGCCTGTATTCTTTCTGCATAATAAACCAAACTGGCAAATATTACGATTCCCAACACCTAACAGAACAAAAAAAAAAAAAAAAACTTTTCAAACATATAATAATAATAATAATAATAAAACTTATTTTTATCGCGTATAACTTTTTCTATTATCAATGAAAAACAGCGGTGCCAACAAAAGCAACAGGTTTTTATTATATTTCTTTTTTTTTTTTTTTGTTTTTCTTAACTGTCGTCACCACTGCTACTACTACTACTACTACTACTACTACTACTACTACTACTTAAACTTAATAAATAAATAAAAAAACTTTTTATTTTATCGTTTTGATACAAAAAAACAATCGTACGACGCCATTTTTGTTTTTTTACTCACCAAGAAAAAGACTAATAGCGTTAATTCCTTGGCCGAAGCTCTAAACGTTTGTACTAATATTTTAAGACCAGATGAATGTCTCGTTAGTTTAAATAATCTCATTATTCGTATTATGCTAAAAAATTCTAATATGTCGGCATTTTCGACATCGGATGCGAGTTTTTGCAATACGAAATCGATGTAAAAACTTAACGTTGCTATATAATCGATTATGTTAACGGATGCTTTTATAAATTCGCATTTATTCGGACACGATATGAAACGTGATAATATTTCTATTGTGAACCATGCGTTGCATATGCATTCAATGTAAAAAAATGCATCGTGAGCATTGGTTGCAGTCTTGTCCAGGACCCATGACGACGTGTTGCTCGTCGTGTTGACAGTTATATTTTTTATAACTGGAACTCTCATGTCCGGATGAGTTTTCAAACAAAACGATAATATCGATACGCATATGAAAAATACCGACATGACTCCGACGATCTGAAATTACCAAAAAAAAAAAAATTAATTAAATTAAAATTTTTTCCATTCGTTATTCGCCGCCATCTTTATTATTAGTTCGCGCCATAACTCTCCCGCGCGCGCGATTCAAAGCGCCATCTCTATGACGTCACATGACGAAAGCAAAAAAACAAAATTAAATAAACTCGTTGGAAAACAATTAACGCGACGCGGGAAAATTTTTTTATTATCGATAATAATAATAATTATTATTATAAATTTATCTTAATGAGTTTTTATCACGATAAATCGAAAAAAAACACGAGTTAATCTAAATAAATTATTAATAATAATAATAATAACAGGGGAATTTATTTTTTGGCGGGAAAAATAATTTATTTTTCGTTGTCAAAATGGCGGCTGACTTTTTTATAAAAAAAAAAAAAATTTGTATCGCGTGTTTTCCTTCCGTGACGTAATTTTATCTTTTTTTTAGGCGCGTTTTTTTTTTTTGTTTAAATTAATTAAAAATTTACTTATTAACAAAAAAAAAAAGAACAATAAGACACGATAATAAGAAATGAAAAGAATTTATTTTAAATAATACTAGGGAATTGAATACAAAAATTATTATTATTATTATTATTATTGTTGTTGTTGTTGTTGTTGTTATTGTTATTATTTGTAACTTTATTCGTTTTTTTGAAGTATGATAGAAATACTAACTTGATTTGAAATAAAGAAACTAACAAATTTTCACTCTCTCTCTCTTTCTCTCACTCTTTCGTTCTCTCTCTCTCTCTTTCTCTCTCTCTCTCTTTCGTTCTCTCTCTCTCTCTTTCTCTCTCTCTCTCTTTCTCTCTATCTCTCTCTCTCTCTCTCTCTCTCTCTCTCTCTCTCTCTCTCTCTCTCTCTCTCTCTCTCTCTCTCTCTCTCTTTCTCTCTCTCTCTAAATTTTCACGGGTTGACGACAAACGAGACAATGAGAAAAGTTTTTTTTTTTTACTAAAAAGTTATTTTGATGAACTTTGTTTTTAAACGAAAATAATAAAGAAAAATTTTTAACTTTTTAGTAAAAAAAACGTTTTCAAAAATTAAATTATATATTTAAATTTCGGGATTAGATTAATAATAATAATAATAAAGATCGCCATTTTATATTATTATTATTATTATTATTATTATTATCCACCATTAAACACGACAAGGCTACTTGTCGGAGTTTTTTTTTTTTTTTTTTTTTTTTTAAGTATTTATCCGAGGTTTCTACCCGATTCCTTAGGGACAAATACTCGAATTTCGGTAATGCCACTTATTATAAGATAGCACCACATCAATTCTTGAAGGTCTTCCTGAGTCCGTCTTTTTCGATGGGAACGATTTGTCTCCTGAACTGGGCTCCGGTGACTAACATCTTTGGAGTGGCCAGGGTCAGAAGCAGTGAAATTCACGTTCTCGTCGAGCTGCCTCAGGTCGACAGTAGAACAAGATTTTGTTTTTGGTTCTTACTTTGTCTTGTTCTCATTTTTTTTTTTTGCTCTTTTAAGCCAACAGCACGTGGCGTTCTCAAACGGTCACCCATCCAAGTTTGCACCACGCCCGATGCTGCTTAACTTCGGTGATCGTACGGGAACCGGTGTGACCAGCACGCTATGGCCGTTGGCTTATTATTATTATTATTATTATTATTATTATTATTATTATTATTATTATTATTATTATTATAAAAAATACACGAAATTAATCGAGTCGTGATACTTAATTTACTCGCTTTTACTTTACCAGACGACTGATTAAAATCGTTAAAAATTATTTAATTATAATGATGATGATGATAATAATATTAATAATAATAATTATTAAAATGGCGGCGATAAAAAAAAGAAAGGAAATTAAAAAAAAAAAAAATTTCCCTTTTCGAAACTTTTACTCGATCGTCGTCTTGTTGCTTTAATAACAATTAAATTATTATTATTATTATTATGGTTGTAATTCGAATTTCTTCTGCTTGAAAAGGGAGATGGGGGAGGAGGAAAGGGAGGGAGAGAGGAGGGGGAAAGACGTAGGGAAATTTTAATTTTTTTTTACATAATACGAACCTTAGCTGCGTTCGACGAATAGGGTTCGTCGAATAGTGACCATATTTTAGGTTTGAGTTTCTGCCACCACGACAATCTACCGTGATAGTAATCATCTTCGAATCCGAATTTTTTCGCAACTTCTTCTTCGCTCGGTTTTTCCGTATCTAAATCTAAACGATCTAAAACGGCCAAAGTTTCTTTCGTGTTTCGATGCTGAAAAAAAAAAAAAAATTTATTTTGGTTAATTCGTTCATCAAAAAAAAAAA